CTTGAACCCTTATCCAGACATACATTTGAGGGCCGGCCCACTCCTCGATCTTGCTATTTTTCATCCAGCCCTTCCATAGTGATCGATCAAGGAAGATGTGCAGGAAGCGGAGGGTGGGCAGCTCTCAACTTTATCAGGATGCGTTACATTTGTTTATTGTGTGTAAATCCAGATTTCACTCACTGACGCCACTCACAGTTACCCCCGGCTCAAACCAAGCCCAGAAAAACAACGGCATCAGAGTTCCATCTCGCTGGACCTGATTGTGCCAGATCAGGGGTAATCGGTTGTACACAGACACAAGTCACTTTACATCCGATTACCCATAAACCAACATGGAACCGGTAATTTCATTTTTTTTCCTCCAGAAAACAATGGTGACATCCATTCCAATCAGCAGGGTCACCATGCATGGATCCCCTCCTGATCAGACCGTCTGAAAAGGGGGAAGGGGCAAACTTTATGTTTCTTTCATCTACCCATCTGTTTGTATAGGTATCTCTAGTTGTGAATAAGCTTTCATAAAGGCCTGTACTTTAATAGTAAAATAGTGAACTCATAAGAAACCAACTCCACTCTATTGTGCCAAACATGACTAAATAAATAAAGCAGATATGATAGATTTAGGATTGCAGTGGGGCTTGGGCCTGGCAGTGCAGAAGAGGCTGGGAATATCTCTCACTGCCTGTTATTCTTAATGAAAAATAACCCATTTATGACCACCCTAAGTGGCGTACTATGTTCAGCTTCATGTAATATGTCAAAGCCTGGCTAGAATGATTAGACAGCAAGGAACAGAAACATCAACTCATGAGAGTGGATCATCAATGAATAGAGATGAAGCAGTCTTTGGTCTAGAGTTAAAGCTGTCAGCAGAAGCCAAAAATGTGTCCATTCAGTTTAAGAAAACAACATTTTCTTACAGTAAAACAACCCCCATGCACCAGCACGCCACAGACCAAGCCAATAATAGAAACAGTATCCAACTCTGACCACAACTACGGTATATATTAGCCACACATTCTCAGAGGAAGCTCACACAACCTTTAGGAAAGTGTGACTCATGAACAAAATGATGAGACCAGGTCTTCTTCTGCCCTTGTTCTTTGTATGTCTCTTTGCTTTGCTTAAAAATACATCAAGAGACCCTATTAATTAATAGAAAAAATATATTTGCCCTTTAGTTATTATATTATTATTAATATTATTATTATATAGGCTTTATATTGCGCCAACAGTTTGCACAGCGTTTGATAAAATATGGGGAGACAGTATGATTACAATACAATACCAAACAAAAATATTAAGAGAACCCTGCTTATGAGAGGTTACACTCTACAAGGAGGGGCCAGTACAACAGAAGGTAATAACTTTAAGGAACGAGCTGATTGAAGGAGTAGACATACAGTTTTTAGTTTTCCGGGATAGCTTAAAGGAAGACAGAGTAGAAGATAGCCGGATAGGCTGTAGTAAGGAGTTCTAGAGGATAGGAGAGGCTCTAGAGAAGTCATGGAAGCTAGCATGAGAGGAGGTGATGAGGGAGCTAGAGAACAGGAGGTCTTAGGAGGAGCAGAGAGGTTGGTTTGGGTGATATTTTTAGATGATGCTGGAGATTTAGCCGGAGGTATAGCTGTGGATGGCTTTGTATGTTGTTGTTAGCATTTTGAATTTTAAGCATCACACTATTGGCAGCCAGTGGAGTGATTGGCAGAGAGGGGTGGTGGCCACTGGTTGGTGTGATGGAGTCTAGCAGCATAGCAGTAGCATTCATGGTGGACTAAAGGGGGATAGCCTTAACCTGCAGCTTGAGCTTTTAAATGTGTAAGTAGGAGGTGTTAGAACCTTTCCCAAGGTGGAAAATTCCCTTGCAACATGAGAATTCCCTTGCAAAAAGAGCAGCCTATTTAAATTAACCCCACTGTTGACATTCTGCAGCCAGTCGGTGCTATACACTTCAAACTTAACTGGAACTAAATGCTGTGCAAGCCTCTGAATTTCTTTGAACAGTCGTTTCCTCACAAAGTTGCTGACAGGCCTTTGTGTATATTCAGCTTTTATAAATGGCTGCATATTAACCTTAGAAAAGGTTAACCAGCACTGCTCTAGACACCTGGCTAAAATCTAGGAACCTCAGTTCTGGGGAATTCTGTATTCTGAAACAATACAAGAATTAACCAACTTCAGTATCCCTAGTATCTACCATAATTTTCGTGACATTAAATATCTACATTTTTGTTTATATTTTCAGAAATGTAAGACAATACCTATGTGCAACATATATACTGTATTTATCATTTAAGTTTATTTAAATTCCTGTTTAATTTTTGTGTTTTTCCATAAATCATATTAAAGAGTTACATGAAAGAATAAAACATGCATATATGGAACAGATGCCCCTTTTTAATATTTTTGTGTTTGCTTCAATCAAAGACCTTTATTACTACAGTAGTATATAGTACAAAGATCTAAAGTATGTGCATATTAGTATCTATCTATCTATCTATCTATCTATCTATCTATCTATCTATCTATCTATCTATCTATCTAAATATATACCGTACATATGCAATAGGCTGGAGTTAATAAAGGAGTAGAGACTGTTCACTTTGCATAGTAAAAGTTCACAGAGCGTAGCTGTGTTCACTCTGATCATGTGCAAGAAAAAAAAATCTAGTATTTAAAATTCCACTGCAGATGATTGAGTCATCAAAGGTAACACAGCTTGATCTTGTTTATTAAGAGTTGTGAACCTTAATTTTCCGTGATGAATAATCTGTTTGTTTAGTAAATCAACCCCAACATGACATTTAATCCCTACTCTAATTTTCTTTCTTTCATTATCATACAACAGAATCTTACTTGAGACTGGAAATAGGACCACCCTACAGCATACCTGATTGGATTAGTTCTGTCACCCTGGAATGAAACGAGAGTGAAATAAAGAAAGAATTCGCTCAGTAAAACTAAATAAAGTCCTACCCAGGGTTGTTTTTGGTAAAAAATATGCCACAGATGTTGGTAAAAAAATACTTAGATCATCCCTCACATTGTCCCTGCAGCAATCTCTTTTTGCCCACCATGAGTGCAGGGATTAAGGACATACTGTGAGTGCAGGATGTAATGGACCCACCCCATAGAAGGCATCTTGGCACCCTGAACATAAAGAGCAACAGTGCACAGAGAGGAACTGGTATCTTCACTTATCCACTGCTCTCTGCATGATGAAATGAAATAAAGCATTATAAAAATTTT